TAAAAAAAAAGAAGAAATATTAATCAAATCTTACGCGGGATTTACCGCTTACCTATATCCATCATAATAGTGTAGTCTTTTTGAATAAATTAGCAAAGACCGACGCATCGTTATTCGTTAGGGGTAGGATCATGGAAATTCGCTCCATTCTTCCAATTTGGAAGTCAATTGTTATTTTTTCTTTTTATTTATTGCGACTAGAATTTTGCTGTCCTCCGTTTGACGAATGCATGGTTTTCCTCGTCAAAGCCGCATCACACTGTAGATCATACTAGGAGCTTGGAAAGACTTTGCTTTGACCATTGGGACTCTACGATACTGACAAATTCCTACAAGTAATTAATTAATCCAATGTCAGCCGCAATATTAACAGTCAGTCAGTCAGGTACATTAACGAAGCTGAAAACGTTTTACACGGGTCGATGACATCCAACCAACCCAAGAGTATAGTATGGGCAGCGAAATTTTTGTTCAACTTATATATGGATGGAGTTGACCTAAATTATTAGTATATGGGGTAGAACTGGAAATGAAAATGATGCCCAGGCTCGTAGTAATTAATTCCTGACTCTCAAGTCTCAAGTGCTTTTAGAGTTAATAGCCTAAGCAGTACCCAACGCATTTGACCACCCATGAGTTTAAGTCCCGCATCATACGCCTGCATGGACGATTAGTAATGAATGCCTCAACAAGTCAGGAGACCTTAACTCGCCCTTAAACTAATCTGCACGTATTCGGACTTTACTTTTAATTGTGCTTTGCCTCTGCGTTGAACTCATTAAATAAACACTTTGCCCCTTTATTATATTTTAAAATAAGAATGTCCTTATTTTTTATTTTTTGGTTTATTCACTCTCTTGCCTTTTCTTTTCCACTACTTTCTTTTGACTGCTTTTTTTTTTTCACTCCTATCATGTCACTATTTTATTTCACTTTCCTATTAGTATCACTAATTTGTATTCTTGTTATGATATTATAATTAACTTTTACTCATAATTTCATTCTTGTCCTATTTATTTACACTATTAGAAAATTTAGAACGAACTATATAGCATAAAAAACTAATGTATGTCTCTCATAATTAAAAAGCGTATATTACTAGCAATTTGACTACTTGAAAAGATATTAACGAACTAGAATTTTAAATTACTTAATATTTAAAAGTATATCCTAAAAAAGTAAAGTAACTATATAGTTGATAACCATTATGTGTATTACGATCTGAATTTGTCACTTTGTTATTAAAATTAATTGACTCTAAACTCTAGATATATTGATTTTAAGTAATGCATGAAATAGTCTATGCACATAGATAACATATATTTTGTTATAGCACAGACTTTTCGTTTTGAATTGAGAAATTCGATGAAGGATTTGAAATCCATTCAAATCGTTCAAATTATTTGGATTATTTTAGAGGCATTTGAATTTATAATTCACTAATTATCAAGATATATTTTGAATACTATAATAATTTGTGATCCACAAATTCAAATACCTTTTAAATAATCTAAACAATTAGAGAGATTATTTGAAAGGATTTCAAATCCTTCGGTAAATAATTCTTTCACCTCTTGATTGGAAGGGAGAAAGTTTACAAAAATAAAATATGAACCTCTGCACAACAAGGATTTGCATGCATATGCCTTACGGTGTGGAAAGATTTTAACTCAGGCCTTGTTTGGAACCCAAATTTTTTGCCAAATTTGTCTGCTACAAGTTTTTTAAAAACTTTAGCTACAGTAACTTCAAAAATTTTTTTAATGTTTTTAAACTATACATTTCAAAAAAATTCAAAAATCTACACATTTCAAAAAAATTTTTAAAAACTTATACAGTAAGTTATAATAAAGTTTTAGACAAACTCCTAAAAAACTCACATTCCAAATATTATTTAACCGTTTTGATCTGCATGTGCGCCTATTCTTTTACTTTGTGCATATCCATTCACAATTAGTTTCAAAAGTTTTTCTTTTCGTTTTTTAATTAGTTTCAAAAGTTCAACCACAAAACATTTTCTGCCAATTCCCCCAAAAAAGGGGGGAAAAAAAAAGCAGAAGAAGATCGATTTCCTCCAGTGTTATTCAGATTTAGGAACTATACTAGTACTGTCTTTGTTTGGATAGAGCATTATTCCAAATAATTATTTAGAATAATTATTGTAGTACTTTTTGTGATATGATATATGTAAGATAAAAAAGGTGATTGAAAATATAAAAAGGTGAATTGAAAAATGTATTTATGATGCAAGTAAAAAAATTTTTTAGAAAAATTTGCTATCCAAGCGTAGCAGGGCCCGGAACTTTCCAGGAAAACAGATTAGTCTTTTTCTTAGTGATTGTTGCGGGCGGGCCGGCAACTTTTTTGTCAGACAATGTGGTGATTGAGCTTTGTCGTTGGCGTTACTTTACAGAAAGAAAAATGATTCTTGTTCTTCTTTTCTCAAATCCTAACTCAACTTTTTTCCCTTTTTACTAGTTCAAGCGTTCAAGTTTTCAACTACTAAGTGGAATCGTACCTCACAATCACCTCACTTGTTGATAATTTAAGGTACTTCACTATTATCCTCTGCGCTCCCAAAATCCATCTTTATACCTGCATGCCTTTTCCTTAACGTCTAAGTATCTACTCCTAAAAAAAGCATCAGACCATGTCCTGTCGTTTTGATAATCGGAGATAAATACCTGTCGTCCGTACACTAAATAAATACATACATGAATCATATATACCGGTAAGTCATGGTACTGTTCCCTCTAAATTTTTGAACTTGTTATAATCTATCTAAGACCCAATTACGCTAATTTCACCATCTAACGGTAAACTTAAACTTGAAGGTATGTCAAGGTCCAATTCTGACCAAAGCAGAATTCACCAGGAAGAAGCCATTTTAAAAGTGAAGTACAACTCCCCCAAAAAAATGAAAGTGAAGTGACAAAGAATAAATAATAACAAAAACTACTTTTGACCACTGAAAAGAAGGTATCCTTTATAACTTTTGCAACTATAATCAGACCCCTTTGACAAATCATTCACAGGCCACCACCACTGCCCTAAGGCTCAAATTTGATTCGTTGCACCATGTTGGCCTGAGCCTCCCATTGCTACTGGCTGGATTGAAGCAACAAATGTACACTCAAGCAATTTTTTATTATTATAATTTTTTTTTGTCGACACAGGGGTGTCTGAGTCAATTCTTACGGGGCCCGACTAATCCCTGCGACCCGGGCCCGGCGCCCCAACCCGACCCAAGCACGATAAGTGCGCGGAGGAATCCAGCAGAACAGAGACTCGAACCTGGGACCAAGTGATCACCAGTGGGAGATGCTACCGCTGGACCATTCACGCGGGGGCGTACGCTCATGCAATTGCACCGTTTAATTTTGCATGCTTCAGTGAGTAAGCTGGGGATTGCGGGTATGATTTGGCCCATGAACTATCTAATCAAATATGTAATGATGAGGCTGGAGTCCAATGAATCTTAGTTTCGTGATTTCTGGTGATTTTCAGTGATTTAAAATGTCAATGGATAGGATTTGGGTTGGATCTCATTAATTCAAATCCAAACCCATTAAATTTAGTTACACATAAACTCATACCCTTATAGTTATGGATCTGAAAAAAGTAAGTTCGAACCTAAACACTCTTAAAACTGAATATCCATTGGACATCCACTGTATTTCTCTTAACATGCTAAAGTAAAAATATTCAAGAATTTTAATATGTATATACTTTTCTTAACATGTAAAAACCATTCAGTTTTGATTTTTGAATAATAAAATTAATATTCAAGAAGTTGAATGCAATAATTATTAACGTCTGATTCTATTTATTTTCAAAACTTCAACTGTATTCACGTTCAATCTATCAATTATATGCCTTTACTTTTACTCCTTAGGCTCCATATCTATACGAAACCGCCTTTGGATGACGGGGAACATCCATGCCACACCAAGAAAGAAACCATTCGATATTAAGGCACCGATTTGATTCGATTCAGCGTACTATCACCCTTTACTAGATAAGGATTGATAGCGATACTCCCCAACATATTAAGGATCGATAGGGAAACTCCCCAACATATCAAAAGTGTTGTGTTTATACATGTCAGAATTATACTTCCTCCGTCCCACTTTGATAGTCCTGTTTTCCTTTTTCGTCTGTTCCAAATTGTAGTCTACTTTCCAATTAAAGAATATAGTTGTATTTTAATTTTTCTAAAATACCCTTATTCAATGTAAGTTGTTGTTACTATAAACCTATCACATTCAATGAGAGTTTATTCTTTTTTTACTATCAATTCAAGTTTCCATAAAGTTGTACTCTAATTAATGTGAGGGTATTTTAGAAAAATTGCTATCTAAATTGATTGTTCCAACAAAGTTAACTACTTTTTCTTAAACTGTGTGAAAAAAGAATCAGGACTATCAAAGTGGGACGGAGGGAGTAATAAAAATCTTGATTCTTACTTACTTATACTCGAAAGGATGACTCATAAATAGATGAGTCCCTCATTTTTTCATAATTAATTAATACATTTACGTGATAAAAAGATCATATCTGCAGTTTTTTTTTTTGTTTGAAAATTCTCTTTTTGATTCAATAATAAATATACTTCAGAAACCTTTTGTTTATTGTAATGGTTCTTTTCATATGAATTCAATTTGAAGATTTGATTTTGAGCACTTTTCATACGTCCTCAACGACTGCAAGAAAGAAAGGGGACCTGTGCCCAGCGTGTGTGCTGCAGGATCGATCTTCAGCCGGGGGCTCATGATAAAGAATAGATAAGACGCTTCGTCCCTTCCTTGCCTTCTGTGCTTGCTAGGAATAATAACTAGGCTTAGAGCCCAAAATGTCATTGAGGCTAGGCCCTCAGGCTGGGAACCATCCTTACTTGTAAGAAAGGAAGTGACTGTATCCCTCTTTTGTTTAATCTTTTTCCCTAACGAGGTATTTTCGCGAAAAACCAAAAACCGAAGATCTAGTTAACGCATCAATCACCAAGAAATAGGATTATTGTACACGAACAAGCTGGCCATGATCCCTCATTGTTCATACAAAGCATTTAATGCCTATACAACAAACGAAAAAAAACAATCACCCTGGTTCAGTTCATAAAGTGATTACCCAAATCTAATGAGCAGCTCACGATTATGTAGCCTATAGTAGCAATGATACACAGTACAAATTCAACGGATCAAATGTTGAGGGCCATTAAGGGAGTAAATCATCTACAATCGGAACTGGAGGAAGGCATATGCAGAAGTCAAAGAAAAGCGAGCAGGGCAAGACTTCTTTGTCCCATCCCACGACCAATTCCCTGCTTCGTCATGGAACTTCAAGCATCATCCGCGAACCTAAATGATTGAAGAAAGTGGGTTCCGAGTTCCCCAGACGAGGGACTGCATTACTGAATTGAATTGAAGGAAAGGCGAAAGTTAGTTACCCAAGTTCCGAGAGCTTCAAATGAGCTTCAGCATAGTCTGCAAAGAAGGCATCCTCGTCCTAGCGCAAAATCATCATTGCCAGCCAAGTTTAGTGAAACAATTTGTTGTTTCATGCTACACTAACTAGCAAACGGTCAAAAGCTGAGCTAAGGGGAGAAAATTAACATACCGCAGCATATTTCTCAACTAATGGACGTAACGCTGGATCTTCCAAAAGTGCTTTGTCAGATGGAAGCCGGATAAGATCTTCTTTCTCTCCACGCAGCAGTTCTCTGTACTTGTACGAAATAAGAGCATACCAATAATCAATTCGTGGACAGTGGTTCCTCTCGTGTGGTTTTCTCGGAAATTTGGGCAGGCAGCACTTTCAAACGGATCTATAATATGCTTAGAAACTTGTAAGGTAACAAGATGAACAGGAACTTACTTGAAGTAGGAGTTATCAAAGATTAGAGGATTACTGGTCCAAGGTCCCTCAAATCCAGAACGTTCCTTGTGACACCTTCCCTGATAAATTTCACCCCGGTTTCTTTAAGTCAATGGACAATAGTAAATAGTGAATAGTGATCCATCATCTAGCTAAATCATTTTATAGGAAACTAACATGAGAGTTCATAGCATACCAAAGTATGACCACCAGAAAGAGCAATGCAATCTTGAGATTTCAGTCATATCACATCTATGCTAGGAAATTAGATAGTACAAATAAGTAACCTTTAGTTGCATCTGGCAAACGTCCTTCAGGAGGAGGTTCATCTTTGTCCTGCAAAGGATGCAAAACTTGTTAGGTTGACAATGGAAACATCAAATGGAACTTCCAAAATGTTAACTCCGTTCTGCAATATACAGTTGCAAACATCTAATAAGTGATATTTTCCAAACCAAAGGAACCATCTCCCAGTTGATTTAAATTGAATTCTTACTTCCTACAAAAAGATGGATGGGTCAGACTTACAGGTCTGCCGGGATGAAAAGGAATCTCAGGGCCTCCAGTGACCTCAACGGCAACAATTCCAGCCAACTTGATATGATAAATAGACATCAATGACAATCATTACTTTTGAATACTAAAATCAGTTCTTTTTTTTTCTTTTTTGGGGGGGTGGAGGAATGGAGGAACCAATGCAATCTGGAAACTGAAAAGAGAGTTTTACCTGATAGAAATCAGCATAGGTGAGGAGTGGAAATTGTTCCTTGATTGGCTCCAAAAGTCGGACAGCAATATCAAGGCCATTATTAGCATCATGAGAAAGCTCGGCCGGGTGCTTGATAGTCCCGAAGGGCCCTCCAGTTTTCGTATCCACATCATAGGTCCCTGCGGAATGCCATCTGAAGCAACGCGTATATGATCACGTAAATCACCCATCAGCAATGAGAAAAGAAATGAAGAAGAAGTTTCTGAAATTTAAAATATAAACTAACTGCACAGCTTTAAACAGAGAGCCAGAGAGATAATATGCCAATTGAATTATGCAATCAGGTAATCAAAAGACTGTTTTACACAAAGAAGATAAGAGAGGGCATGGCATGCCTAAAAGAATGAATATTTACAGAAGCAAGCAAATTCACTAGAATCACTACCCTATTTATTATATTCATATGAAACACTGAATTGATAGAACATGAGGGATCAGTTTTCATTTTCCTGAACTCAAGACAGCCAAACTAAACAAATGCAAGAAAGACAGTCCAGCAATCCACAGGACAGGAACAAAGCAACAAAGCATGCATGGTTAATCATTTGAGTTATCATCACAACATACTCAGAAACAGAACTAACTTGACTTAAAAGAGAGACGGATAAAGAGGCTGCGTACGCTAGTCGGAGGATCAAAGGAGCACAATGCTTCTCAGCAATGAAGCCTCTGAGCTTCCTCTTGCATTTCTCAACTGCCTTCTCGTACTCCTGGCTTACTTTCGGGTACGATTTTCCCATGAAGGTATCAAGGGGATCTTCAGCTGAAAATTTCTTAGCATATAAGGATATCCAAAGAGCATAATGCAAGAACAGCAATTCATGTACAAAGACATAAATAGCACCAAAGACTATATATGCTTTCCGCATGAAAAATCAAGAAGACAAAATCTACATGCAATTTAATACTACTGGCTCTACATGCAACGCATGCTCAAATTAACACAAACCTGAGGTGCAAAAGCCAAAGGCAAAAAAGAAAAAGAGAAGTAGTTGCAGATGCAGTGCGCTTGATCAGATCGCCCAAAAAAAAAAAAAACGAAAAGATTTAGTATTGAGTTCTTTACAAGAGAGGAGCGAATTTAGAGTCTGAATTTTAGAGGGGTGCGGGGTCAAAGGACGGGAAAGTTCTAGCTGCTGGTGTGGGCCGCATGTGGGCCCTTTATCTTTCAACACGGGTACTACAAGAAGCTTGTGGTGCCAAGGGCCAGGACAGTGTTGCAGTGACGTGTCAATGGTCCATTTCAAGGAAAACACTGAGCTGGTGAAGATTCGAAGCCCAAATCAACCTTATAACAACACTGTGGATAAGGTGTCCAATTAATTTGGGCCGAATTCATGCTAGACTCCGGAACAGATACATTACTTATGGCCTTTTAACTAACTGAAGGAACCCAAAGCTTCAACTTTTTTTTGAGAGTAAAATAAGCCCATTTTAATGTAAAAATTGGTAAGAAATGAAAAGCAACGAGTTTTTTTCAGTTTCATATCTTCAGAACTGCTACAAAATATTTCACCTAGTACTAACAATCATATCCTTAGAGATTATGCATGATCCCTTACTTCCATTTCAATAACAAAATTGTGCAAATTTCCAAAAGATTGGATAAATCTCTGCAAGGCATGACTGGTATTAGGTAGGTTTCTTCGTCTTGCTGTTCAAGGTTGTTTCTGGTAGATAAACAAATTAGCTATCATAGTTGACTTATTGGAATGCTAATTCTAAGTTCTATGTGCCGAAATTTGCTGGAGATATTAGGTTCAAAAGTAATCTTAATTTTAGATAGGGTTTGAGAACTTAATTAAAAGAAAAATTATTGAATGATCAAGAGAAAAAATTCGGGTTAAATATTAAGTTAGGTATGAAAGTAGTCTTAATTTCAGGTGGCATTTGAGAAATGAATTGAAAGGAAAAAAAAAAAAAGAATGATCAACTGAGATAATTCGCTAGGTTTTGCTGCTTCTTTTAGTATTCCGTTGGAATTGCTTTTGGCAACTTTTTTTTTTTTGATAGTAAATTAGAAAATTTCATTAAGGTGAAGATAGGTCCGCCGAAATTGCGGAGAGAAGAAAAGATGGTGGAGAATAACTCCAACTACAGATATCTAAAATAGAGCGAGCATTTCTAGCTAATAAATGTGCTGGCACATTGGCCTTCCTAGGGACCCAGTTAGCCTCCCAAGCGGCGAAGTTCTGTAACCTAACAAAGATATCATCTAACAGCACCCCATAGGCGGAGTCATCAGACTCCATAAGCTTAAGCATGCTGACGATCTTCAAAGAGTCTCCCTCCAAAATAATGTTTGGCAACTTTGATCACCTTAATTTGTTACTGCTGCTGCCGCGCATAATTTCGATTGCATCATCAGGCAGCCTTAGGATTTTGACTGAACTTCTCCATATGACAAATGATGCTGTAAAGACGAAGAGCAGAGGGAGGCCATTTTGACGGACAACGGATGGATCTTCTGTCCTACTTCTTATGTCACTCTCTGTCTTCACTTTTTATTATACAAGGAAGGCCATTTTGATGCGAAATGAATCTTCTGTCCCACTTCCTATGCCGCTCTCTGTCTTCACTTTTTATTATACGACATTAATATGCAACTTGTGATGGCATCCAATCTTAACGACCATGATTCAAGATTTTATAGCAGCAACTAATTAATCCTAACAACTAGGATTTACATCTTAGTAAAAATTAAACATGTCAATGTCAAATTATCACCTCCTTACTTGTCTTTAACAACTTTCAAAAGATTAATCTTTTGAATTGCCACCTTTCGTTACACTTCCCAGTTTTTGACAGCTAAATCTCTAGAAGGATGGGTTAACGTGAGCAAAATCCCTTAGACACTAACATAGACTGCCACAGATTTCTAAGCTCATTTGATCTACCTGTTATGCGATCCATTTACGTCTGCAGAATCCATAGTGCAAGTTCCATACACATTCACGTGCAACTACTTTATAGCTCAACATAATCCAGAGGCGATAATTGTTTACATCAGTAAGACAGCATATTCTTTTTTTTTTTTCCAACGAAAACAAGTAAGACAGCATATTCAGATGAGCTCTTCAGGATAAGTCCAAAACAGCTTAGAGAGCTTAACTCTCCATAACCTCAGGATAATTACCGCTTGTAGGCGCAGCAGTTATGATTGTAATTACTCAGCATGAAAAGCAATTTAGGCTAAAAAAGTTCTAACGGTCAAACACCTCTGCCGGCAACCCAACTAACGTACTGCAGAAGAAGAACAAAGGATTCTCTGTTACAGCTTTTCCTACTACATAACTCAAACATGAGCGATGGCACTCACTCAATGCACATACAAAGATGGAAATCCTTACCCTGTACATCATCACCTCTAGCATAATTACAGGAGCAACAGTCATGACTGAAATTTCTTAAAGAACGAAAAGCAATTCTAGCTAAAAGGTTGCTAGCCTAGCACCACTAACAACTTCCTTATGCTTTACCAAATAAAGAAAATGAACAACCAACATGTCAAAAACCAATAGATCATGCCTTTTGAAGAAACAGTAACAAAACAGAATATATGCATATATACATACCCGTACTAGTACATTCTCAAGTCAGTTTTACAACGTTGAAGGTAGGCGTTATAAAAACTTGAAGAAGGCTTTGATTACAATTGAACCCAACACCTATTGGTTGAAGAAAACAGTGCCTAACCTAGTCCATCCCAAAAGCAAATCAAATAAACATGTTTTCTCAACACCATAAGCATTAGGCCACCTGCGGTGTATCACTAATTAATCCGTGTAGAATTAGCATTATATACTTTTAAGAGCAGCCTTCTCCCATAGTGTTACAGAAATCTGATGTTACAAAGAACAGCAAAATATCAATACTGCATCTAGTTTGATCTTTTTTCATATCCATTATCGCCATGTTCTCTCTTCTCACCCTCTCTTTTTGTCCTAGGTGGAGTGGCTGGAGCCCATTGTGAACTTTGGGCAGGGTTATATTTTTGTGAAGCAAGGTAAGACAAAGCTGTGACTACATCAGCAATCACAGGGCGCATATTAGGCTGCTCTTGGACACACATAGCTGCTACTGAAAGTGCCTGGTACAAGCCTCTCATTGGATACTGACCTTGGAGCATAGGATCAGCCATCTGTGAGAACTTCTTCCGATCGTTGATCAAGGGTCTTGCCTGGAATAAAAAAACAATAATCAATATGTGTATTCAATAAAACAGCTACAGGCATCAGAATACCTAAACACTAGTAGCATTTTCTCTGCGGTGCATTACTAGCTGTAACAGAAGGTGCTGTTCTCTTTTTCTGCTGACGGAAAATTAAACTCAAGGTGAAGCACCACCAATCAATTGCACAAAATGCTTCAACTAATATCTCAAAGAAACCTTACAGAGCAAGAGATCCCTTGAAGGTCAAAAACAATGGATCTTCATAGAAATCACATTTCACCTTCAGACAGACTTATTACACTCTGTTTATAAGTCAAATCTCAGCAAGAGCTTTAGTGATCCATGATAACAATCAATGCTCACATTCGACTTCCATAACACTGAAACACAATAACCGTGTTGTAGTGTGCCATAAATAACTTAATGAGACACCATTTTCAGACATAAATCACCCGGTTACTTCCAATTCTCCAATCGAAACCTATAAACTACTGATCAAAAGAGTGATGTATAGAAAGTAGTACGATTCGCTGCACATCACTATTATTCACCGCCAGAAAAAGCATAAGAAATTTCTGTGACAACAACAAAAACTTGAGAGAAGATGGCAATTGTCTTACCCAAGCTACCAGGTTATGCTCCCCTGCAGTTTTGGAATTCTCAATTGCTTTCCTTCCAGTTATTATCTCTAAAAGTACAACACCAAAGCTGTAAACATCTGATTTCAGTGTCAGTTGTCCTGTCATTGCATACTCAGGTGCGCAATACCCATAGGTACCCATGACCCTAGTGGATACATGAGTATTATCACCAACAGGCCCAAGCTTAGCCAAACCAAAATCAGATAGCTTTGGATGATAACCCTCACCAAGCAAAATGTTAGAGCATTTTAGATCACGATATATAACTGGGGGGCTAGCTTTATCATGCAGATGCTCTAAACCCTTTGCTGCCCCAGCAGCAATTTTCATTCTTGTATTCCAATCAAGCCATTTTTTATCTGGTGTAGCATCTGTAGAAGAAGGTTTGTGAGTCCAAACTCCACAGGCAATTTTTTATACAAGTAAAAATTTGAGGATATGCACCTAATAATAGCAAATACCATAGAGGTGGTCCTCTAAGGACCCCAACGGCATGTATTCATATACAAGAAGTCTCTGGTCTCCATCAGCACAATAACCAATAAGATTAACAAGATTGGGATGGTGAAGCAAGCTCAACATCAACACTTCAACTAGAAATTCTCTATTCCCTTGCAACCCATTGCGATCAAGTTGCTTGATGGCAACAATCTGCACCAAAGGCATTAAACTAGAATTCAACCTTTCGGCAATCGATAGTTAAAAATAACTAACATAATTTCAATAAAATGAACAACACAAAATCTCCATCCAATTTGGCTTTATCATTGAAAAATCTTGATGCACCAAACCATGGAACCGAAGCTCAAAAATGTACTTCGCTTGATTGAAAAAGGAAACAGTGATCCATGTAAAGGTTGTTTATGCCAGCATAAACGAAACATGATGATGCATCTATTCAGAACAATCTAATTAGCAATAAGATTTTGACAATGTTAAGAAAAGCATTTCACAGGGCATTAGAACATTTCTTTTACTAGGAGGCCTGCAGTGGACTCTCTATCTTTCTGAAGGTCTTTTATACTTAAATCATGATATATGGAAGTCTTTTATTTTCTAGCAACAAAGGCATGTTATAAAAAAGCTAGAATAATGTGTCAATGCCATCATTGGGCTTGAACCATTTCGACGTCTGGCTTAGAAGCAAAAAAAATTGAGAAACCCATGGGGAAAAATTAGACTACAACAAAGTGGAAGATGAGCAGCTCAT